CAAACAGCCAGGAGACAGGAAAAAATTCCCGAAACATCGACGGCCTCCCTAATAACAACCGAAACCAATTACTAACGCCTACTTACCGAGCTGCCTTCAGCACCCGGCGTTGTCGAGTATAACGATGACCGCGGTCCCTTACCTGCAAAAAATAATGCGAATATCGGTTAATTTTGAAGTAATCTTATGTGTAGTGTGGCAAAAATATTAACAGATAAAGCGAGAACAGTAAAAGCAGTAGGTATGTGGACGAAAGAATGATAAGAGAAATTACAATTAAAAAATAATCAACGATGTATACAATGATGATCTTTATAAAAGCAGAAGAACCCTTAAAATTTTTGATGCCGAAAGGATGCAATATTTACCGTCATAGCGGAAAAAAACTTAAACTTGGCATTGATGTTCTCACATGGAAATATTATCATGCAAAAATTTAATGGCTATGGAGAATTCTAACAGTCACAGCGGAGTTATGACTGTTAAAAAAGTGAATTTTCTTTCATAAATAGTCATTACGAAAAAGATCTGATGTACATCACTTTTGGAACGCAAATAAACGGGTGATGATTTTCGTTTATTATCCGCATAATTCCTAGAAAACGAAAGCCGGAGCCGCCGCATGAATGTCGTTGGCAGGAAGAGTTATGAGCAGCACTAGGAAATGACAGCAGCAGTAATGAGCAGCACTAGAGGAGGTGTAGACAATGACAGCAGCAGTAATGAGCAGCACTAGAGGAGGCGTAGGAAATGACAGCAGCTGTAATGAGCAGCACTAGAGGAGGCGTAGGCAATGACAGCAGCGGTAATGAGCAGAACTATATAGAGGAATTATAGGCAACTGCAGCAAAGGTTATGATGTACAGATAACTGCAGCTACCAGCAGCAATTATACTCCTGTGTTCACGACCTTAGCTGAAGGTTGCCGCCACTCACTTCGCTTGTCGCACTACTTGTTGTAGGTTACATATGCTTTTTTATGTTTCATGTTGTTCGTAAATCAGGTTTTTCCACGCTCGCCAGCCTAGTTCTTCTTAAACTCGTGGACAATTTTTTACCTTATCATTTATTGCGAATGTAAGGTATGAAAATGCTTGCAGAAAGAACGATCACAATATTAGCAACATCCGAGTTGTCAGAAAAACCGCATGATTAAATCAACTATATAGCATTCAGCCGTCAGATTTTGAAAGTATGCAAGTATTTTGAAAGCGCACTTGTTAGATAATTGTGGGCGAGTAATACCGAGCAATACAATTAAGACGTCCGCAGATGATCAAAACAAGTTTAGATTTGGATAATCATTGTAACAGTGATCTTCTTGGTCGATGACCACTTATTAGTTTTGCTTTCAGGATAATCGTTATTTAATTTTTCTCGTTTGTCTTAAGTATGAATCGTATGAAACGTTTTGAATTACCTATAGAGAATCATGTCCCTAATCTCGGGTGTGGTTTAAACCGTGCCTGGGGTTGCCAACGACGCAATTTTTGACAATTTCTGTTTTGAATAAATTTGTGTCGGTAATACATTTGCGTTGAATCACAAGATTAAACCCAGTAAGGCTGGGTAGTTCACCACGTTACATTCGTACCTATTATAGGCACCGTGATATCTATGCAGTGCGACATGGATTAAATACTTGTGTTATGCCAGAAGGTTGGCACGACCACAAAGTTCTGAGGTCTTCATGACCACCGAAGGTCGTACGCTTAATAGGCAGACGAGGGTGAGCTAAGTGAGGCCTCGTATGTCCTTCCATAAGTGGAACGAAATTTACGCCTTCCAGGCATGCAAGGCTCGAGCTCGCTGCACGCGCCGCTATTGGAGGGCCACGACACAGGAGGACTCGGGCTCAACTTCGAATGGTTTTTAAAAATGTTTTTTTCCTGAAAATCACAAATTTTCTTAATACCAAAAATGACTATACTTTGAAGTAAATCAAGATGTCTACAGTTGAAATTTGGACGTTCTTGGTTTCGTTAAACATTGTAGTATTCAAGGAAACTCAATTTTAGTATTCGAGCCTCAAATGAGCATGGAAATAGATTTTGAATTCTGCCTCAAATATTTGTAATGACATTAGTATGTCGTAAGCCTTAGTTTACATACTTACAATGGATAATAGATTCGACCTAGTTGCTAAGATTCGACCTAGTTGCTAAGATTCGACCTAGTTGCTAAGATTCAACCCAGTTGCTAACTAAGATTCGACCTAGTTGCTAAGATTCAACCTAGTTGCTAGGATTCGACCTAGTTGCTAAGATCCGACCTAGTTGCTAACTAAGATTCGACCTAGTTGCTAAGATTCAACCTAGTTGCTAACTAAGATTCAACCTAGTTGCTAAGATTCAACCTACTTGTTAAGATTCGACCTAGTTGCTAAGATCCGACCTAGTTCATGAACTATGAATAAACCGCGAAATTGCTCTCAATAGACGACATTCAGGCCCATTGTGGGGACAGTAACCCTTCATGCCCCCCGCCGTGCCGTGGCCGCGCCGCGCGGTGTCATGCCAAGTGTCGCAGCGGGACGAGTGTCGCGGTTTACCGCAAGTCGCGGGAGGCGCGAGGGAAACCTGAGGTCAGGTTCACGACACGATTACGAAAATTTTAAGGGAGTCGACGTCGTTATTCGTTATCGAATCCTGTAATCCTTGATTTAAATCGCGAGTTAAAGTGTTTTTCTTTCGAATCACAGACAGCGTGATCAAGGCATCGAACATGTTTACTTATGAGAAGTCATTATCTATTCCTGCGATAATGACATCCTAATATCCATTCTATTTTCATAGTTTTAATCAATCTTTGCCTCCAAGTGAACGTCTTGAAAGATTGGGAAACAAGATAGTATGCAATATTACATTTCAATTTGTTAGTGCTTAGTACTTGGGTATTAAATTTGACTGACTTTTCGGGAGTTTCTAAAAATTCTAAAATATGATAGCATCATATTGCTTGTTTTACGTCAAAAAATAACAATCGGACTAATTTTAGTACTTAGTGTACAATTCTTTAAAATCACTAGGGCTATTTTAGAACAAAAAACACATATTGGAATGCTTTGAAAAAATGCGTTCACTACATTCCATTTTAAAATTTTTCACCAGTTTATCCGTATTCATTCAGAGCAGGTTCAGAATTAGATTTCAATCCAGATAAATAAATTTCGTCAAGTATTTAACTTCGCAGGTACTATGAGGCACTGGAAAAAAGTATCAAGAAGTTGATCTCAAGATTTTTTTTATCAGAATATAAAGAACGTAGCAGGCTACCTTGTTTACATTTGAGTCGCAGTTGCAGCGTCGCTCGAGGCAATACGATCGAGGGTCGCGATTTATTTCGGCATCACCGCTCACTTTCTCATTCATGAAAAAAGTTTGAATTTAGATTATATTTTGACCGCAAAACCGTCACGTCGGAATTGCAAATAGCCAAATATTCCGCGTTGACAAAACAGTCTATGTTTTTGAGTGGCTCGGGGTGCAGATTCTCTCGTGTAGGTTGCGTTTAAAATATATTGGAAATATCGTCCCAAAATTGGCGCAAGGTAAACGAAACCATCATTAGAATAAAGAATAGATGCGGCATAAAAGATAGAACTCAATTCGATAGAAATCTTTGACAGGAAATTTATCTCTGGTTGTCGAAAAATTGGTGGCATTTCGCACTAAAACTCTCGATAGTTTTTAGTCGGAAAACGATTAACTGATTGATAAAATTTTTGTGCGATAAGAATAAACTGAGAAAACATGGTAAAGAGGAGTAGAAATCCTTTCAATTTTCCTCTTTATAACTTTTTCTACGTGGTTATAAGAATATGTAGACCGATGTAAACGAAAACAGTAATAAGGAACTGATTGGGAATAGGTAGAACGAAAATATCAATAATGAAAAAAATAGAGAATAGGTAAAACGAAAACACTAAAGTCGCTAAAAAAATGCAAGACGTGATAAGAAGATGAAGTGAACTACAATTATAGCCGGATAAAGTAACAAAAAAATTCGTAACAAAATTTTCAGCCCGCGAATCTTTTCTAACAACCAAGATGCTACATATCACATCAACGCTTACATCACTACCAAGCAAGTGAAAGAGAATGTGAATGCAAATGAGTCAGGCACACGGTCAGTTTATTAGCATAAGGTATTTCAGCACACGTGCCGTTTTTCATCGAAGTTTTTTGCCCTTCAAATTGAAGTGGGATTATAGGTGATGAAACAACAGTGCAAAAAAAGCTCAGGAATTCTGTGTGTGAAATAAGGCAAGAGATTTAACACGTCGATGTCTTAAATGCAAAAACATCAGTTTGAAGTGATTTATTTCTTCTCGATTGAATATAGTAAAGATTCCATAACGGCCCGTCCGAACACATTATTGCGTTAGTTAACAATGTTCCAAGAACGTTTAGATCACTCGAAAAGAATAGTTAGATTCGGTTTCTTGTTTGTCAAGTGGATTCATCTATTCTTTGGTGATGTTATTTTGCATCTTAATCCGGTTTAAATAAATTGTTGCTATCCGATAGCGTTTGAATCACCTTGCTCTGGTCACAACACCCGATCGTAATGACATGAGTCATCACTGTCGCTATCGTGCATTTTACGTCATTTATAGAATTTATAAACATTATTATAGATTGGTGTGGTTCGGCAGATAGCTTTACCACGTTTACCAGTTAATATCACCACCAGTGAGATTAACTAAATTATTATAGATCTATATTTATTGATATTATTAATTATTCATTGAATAATACTGCATATTGGTCCTGTTGCTCTTAGGTGACGCAAGCCTTGGTTTATATTTATTTATATAATTAATTATTCATTGAATAATATTGGTCCTGGTCCTCTTACATTATTATAGATCTATAGTTTTTGCTATTATTAATTATTCATTGAATAATATTGGTCCTGGTCCTCTTTTATTATTATAGATCTTTATTTATTGATATTATTAATTATTCATTGAATAATATTGGTCCTGTTGCTCTTAGGTGACGCAAGCCTTGGCACGAGCGGCTGCTCAGGAGGAGGCGAGCGTGAAGACGCTGTCAGCGACTGCGGCAGCGACCCGTCGTCTCACGACCAGCCCTTGGACGACTCAATGGACGCGCCTTCACAGGACCATCATCACCACGACACCAGCGGTGGTACTGACCACCAGACCAACATCAACAGTCTTCACCACCACCACCATCACTACCAACAACAGCAACACCAGAACCAGCAGAAGGTGCTTGACATGCAACAGCATCTCCATCATCAGAACATGTTATCCCATCACCAGATGGAGGACTCCATGGAGGCGCCCTCTACTCCCACCATGGCGTCTATTACGCAGAATATGAGTGGGGGGCAAACGCCCCCGGTGAGGGTAAAGTCGCCCCGATCCCCGAGGTCTCCCCTTGGAAGTGGAGCTCCGGATTCAACTTCTCCAGGAATTCATCATTTCCCTCAAGTCATGAATTTGGTGAGCGCAATTTAAAAATTTCAAATTATTTTGTGTTGTTGTCAATGTTAACTTATCCGCGGTCGTGGAAGTTAGTAGGACGTTGAGAATGTGGTAAAATCATCGTGATGTATTGTTATAACTTGTATACGTAAAAGGTACAATCCTCAATCAACAAATACAATGTACCAATCATGGTTTCATAATGTATAAACACAAATTTCTACATGTTACATAACCAAACAAAACCCCTGCTTCTAATCGCTAACAAATACTGTACTTTATTTTTCACTCAGGCTTGGGACTTGACCAACAGCATCAAGAGATCCACCACCCCCTCCCCCCCGCCCTCGACCACGCTATCCAACGACCCCCTCATAACCCCGGGGCTTCCGTCCCCCCAAACCCCCGCGAGTGTGAGCACCCCCATCAGCGCCCCCCCGTCGGTGTCCCCCCCGAGTGGCACCCCCACGGGGGCTCATCCTTCGATGCAGGCCGCCCTCGCTGCCATGCAGGCTGGGTCTCTCTCCCTCAGCCAGGTGTGTGTCAAATTATATCTCATAATCAATTAATTTACGTAATAAATTTCCCGTTATTTTATTTCCCACAACGTTTCGTTAAAAGACAATCAATTTAATTTAGTTTAAAAGAAGTCGTTCATTTTTAGGGTGCAAGCGTTTTGTTACAAAAGAGACTATTTAACGTTGGAGGCTAGCAAAACTCTCTTAAAAAGTGGCAAGGAAATCAAAGAAATACACCAGTAACATTAAAAAGTAGCGCGTTTTACATAAAGGGATAAGAAACATCTTAACTTCGATTCAAATGCTGGAAAAGCCTTTTAAAAATCATCACTGAGACGATGTAGTGCATGAAGCCGATGACTCTTTTCATCAATACATCACACCATTCAAGTTTTACCTTCACTTCTACTTCATTAATGCGCGGTATTATCCAAGCCAACGTCTTCATGATAATAACTTGGCTATTCAACATGCACGGGCTGGAAGCCAATGCTAATGAGAGCGCCAGATGCCACACCTGTTCTGGAATGGGCGGTCGGGAGTTGTCGCTTCGGCCCATCCATGCTGTTGTCCAGAGTTCAATCATGCAAATACGCCAGAAAGACGTCGTAACAAGAAGTCTCAACGTCCTCTGGAGTCGTACAAGATGACCATGTGCGTTAGAGAAAAATATCTCGAAGGCCTCACTAATAATTATCTGCGTACACTCGGAAAAACGAATGGGTCATAATGTCCAAATAGTGACACAGTTTCATACACATAGCAGGTGCAAAGAGCAGACGTCCTCTTTGTCGGGCTAAACTGGCCAGGATTACAACAGAAGAGAAAAAAGGGCATCGTTATTTGGACAAGGTTCCAATCATTCCTCTGAGTATACCACCTGCTATGAAAAAGCTACTTTAGTTAGCGACAGATCGAGTTTTGTTCTCTGATTTACATCAAATTTGCCGCTCATTTCTTAACGTAGGATTTATTCGGAATCAAGAGAATTTTGGTACAAACGTTTGCAGCGTAGTTAACAACTTACCAGCACATCACTACTGTTCTGTTTGGCTCACGAATTAAAGATAAATAATGCATACAAAGATATAATTTTTGAAGAGCAATTCTGTCATCACGTTCGTGAAATTGATTTACTCGAGTCCATGACATTCATGTTCACCGGTAAAATAATCCCTCGATCGTGCCCTTTATATTAGTCCAACATAGAGCTTGGGCCGAGATACATGAAAAATCATTCCTTATTTCATGCCTTTGTGAAAGTCCCAACATGGAGCTTGGGCCCAGATCACGATGAAAGGACTTGTACTTTATACCCAAGCGCCATCACTTAATTGCGGACTTAAATGTACGATATTCATATATATTGTGGTTTTCGTGATTGAATAAACAATTATAATATTGAAAAAGTTGTAGTTGAATCGCTGAACATGTATCTTCAGCTCTGAAGTAATTGGAAACTCATTGCTGGTTTAATTTTCATTCTACAAAATTAAATTCTACAAAGGCAATACGCAAATGTCAAGACAAGCGCAATCATTAATAATTTTAGGAACCATTCAAACTTTCTCACAAGTCAATCTCACAAATGTTTTGATCCAAGAAATTGCTTGAATATTAATAGTCGCTTTAGAATTTCATAAGTAAATTAATCATTGAATAATCAGGCTGAATAAAGTGAGATTAACTAAATTAACTAACTAGCACATTATGGCTGACAGTCATTTGGAACCTTAGATCGATCTTGTTTCAACATTTCAATGTTCATTCGATTTAAATCAAGGCATTCGAACTCAATAATCAAGAAATTGAATCAGTTTTCTGACCTAGGTTTTCGATACGAAATCCAGCGAAAATAATTTTTTATAGTTCCATCGCGACGTTCGTTGACAATGATTAGGGGACAAGAGTGTCCCCTAATCTGAGACTATATGATTCTAATGGTTCAGAAGGTTTGTGATACGATTTCTAGCCCAAAAATTTTTCAGTTTTCACAATGATGTTCATTTCAATTCATCAAAATGTTCTCTGTTGCGTACAAACGTCTTAGGTTGCTACAGTCAATAGTTTAAGTATAATTTAATATGGAAATTATGTTCACGGAGAGTGGCATACAGCGGTAGAGGGTAAAGAGAGTTCTATTATAATCCGGGACGATTTAATTCCATTGCAGCTCATGGCTCGTGATGCGAATTCCGGCACAATTCACCTTCCATGTATTTATCATGACGTTCGTTTTGAATCCATTAACAATGTCCTCTAATGTGAGACCATTTAATTACATTGCAGCTGATGGCTCTGAACTCGAGCAACCCTCAAATGATGCTGCAAAACCAACTGGCCGCAGCAGCCGTGGCTGCCGCCCAGCAAACTCCACCTGTCACGTCGCCCATCGCAGGGCTGGGGTCAATGAGTCCGCAAGAACTTCAGGTACATAGTAAACGATCGTAAAAAAACATTGTTTCTTTATTGCTAAGTTCAGAAGTTATTATTTTGAGTACTCATGAATGTATCGAAAGTAAAATTGTCTTATGACATCAATGAAAGGCTGACTTCAATATTCAATCATTTTATTTTGCTTTCAAAAATTTCAGAACCTGCAGCAAACACTACAGCGGCAACAACAACAACAACTCCAGCAGCAACTTCAGCAATTCATGCTTTTGTCTCAGACTGGACCAGCGTCGCAACTTCCTCCTCAAGCACAACTTTTCCTTCAAAATCAGGTAAATAACTTGCATTAAAATTTTTTTAGCTCAAATACGCTGATCCATCAACTCACACACTTTGAAAAAATGCGGAGTCTTTAATTACCTTCATAAATCTGAAAAATTTCTAAGTTTATATTTTTTGTTACCTTTTCATGGTTCATGAGTTCAGTTACTTAATCACTTCTCCGTTGCCCTCTCGTCTTCCAATTAATTATTCAACCTTTAATTTAACTCGTATATTTCCGAAGGATTCAAGTCTTTCGCTAAATTTATAAATGTAAAGGAATTTCAAATTCATGCTTTTTAAAACATTTTCACGACGTTAACGAGCGAGTTAACGAGTTAATTTATTTATTTTCTCTGTTACCCCCTCTCGTTTGCAGCAAATGCAATACCTGCAATCGATGCTGCAGCGTGGAATGATGGGTGCTCCAGGAATGTGTGATCTGGGCGCTCGGCTTCAACGTCCACCGACTCAGGAAAGCCAAATGCCACCTCGCAGTATGCACCACGATGTTGCCCATCAAATCCAACAGCACTTGCAAAAGGCACAGCAGCAACAACATCAACAATCCCAGTCCCAGTCTGTGAACTCGCTTCTGCGCGATCCTCGTGAATCTCCTCTGCGTCCACCTCTTCAGGAGTCACCTCATCTGCGCACGTCACCTTTGGGCCATCACGCCATGCACACAACACCTGTGAGTCACATGGCTCCTCCACTCCTTCGTCCTATGGCACCTTCTTCACCCTCAACCAGGCCGTGGGATCCGATTCCAGAAGAAACAACAGATTTGGAAGAACTCGAGCAGTTCGCCAAGACTTTCAAACAGAGACGCATTAAGCTTGGATTCACTCAAGGAGACGTGGGTCTCGCCATGGGAAAGTTATACGGAAACGATTTTTCGCAAACTACCATAAGTCGATTTGAGGCTCTAAATCTTTCTTTTAAAAACATGTGCAAGCTGAAACCGTTGCTGCAGAAGTGGTTGAAAGATGCCGATAAAAGCGTCAGTGACCCGGCACTGCTCAGCAATCCTCTAACCTCTCCTGATGCTCTTGGACGTCGGCGAAAGAAGCGAACTTCGATCGAAACTAGTGTGCGAGTTGCACTCGAACGAGCATTCCTTCAAAATCCAAAACCAAATTCGGAAGAGATCTGTATGCTTTCAAATTCACTGTCAATGGAAAAAGAAGTTGTCAGAGTTTGGTTTTGCAACAGGTGAGATGCAAAAAATTGACCATATATAATGGGATACTTGAAATAAATGAATACTGCTACATATGACTATATAATTGATCTAATAATGGATATATGGCTCCCATTCTCTACTACATTCTTAGCACGTTCTCTTTCTCACCCTAGATATCTTTTCTCAGACGCCAAAAGGAAAAGCGAATCCACCCGTCGAACACTGGGATGGCGAGTCCGCCACCTTTCAGCATGGCGGGAGGGGGCGGGGGCTTATTTTCCTCCAGTTTGAATTTGCCCATCTCTTCTTCCCTGACCTTAACAAGTTTGGGTCCGTCAATGTCTCCTGGCATTCCAGTCTCCTCGCCGCTTTCATTTGTTTCCCATCATAGCTTTGTTCCTCCGTCGCCAGTAGAATCTTCGATCGCTAAAGTGGAATAGTAGTCAGACGCGGCTATTGGAGGCCAAATAATATGCGATCATCGAGCGAGATTACCTACCAAAATTCAGCCGGCTGCTTCTTGTGCAATGTTTTCCAAAACCGTCGGCGGGCATTTGTCTTGGCTTCGGCAGTCGGGTGCTGCATGAGATGCTAATCATCACGACTCAACCGAAACATGACCCTAATCGCCTCAACCGTCAAGTGACTCTTATCTGGCCTTTGGAAAAAGTTGAACACTTCGATGATAGCTACATTTCGTCTCCAAGCCGCTCTGTAGTTGACGTGTTACTCTAATGAATAAATGTGTTTCGGCCGAGCCAGTGTCCTGAGGCCAATCGTTTCGTGTTGTGGCTAGTGTTTTTATGTACAGCTTAGTTGTATACAATGATAAGGCAGTGACCTAGAGTTATAAATCATAGTGAACGTGAACGCCATTGTGGACATCATATCAGTGAGATAAGTGCCGATTGAGGAACAAGCTTGTGAACACCGTCCCAAGACAGAGGGTTTTGAATTAATTTCTATTTGCGTCCCGTGTATACGCCGAAGAAAATAATTGTTGCGAGAGTGAAATATTATTAACAACTTTCCTCAAATACTTGAACCCTTACAGTGAAATGCATAAGCTTGTGTCTTACTTGGTATTTTCTCACACATAGTGTCACAAGCATCCAATATTTTGCTATTGAAAATCTCGATCTTCTTCCGTTGTGAAACGCTAATGAAATGCAATTGAAAATACTAAAACACTCTGAGTTACTAAAAATTAACGATACTACGCAAGACTTTTTAATATCCCCACAGTATATTGTTTGTAAACTGACGAGTTGTGAAGTAAATGGAATTTTTTTAGCATAATCTGCAGTTCTCGCAGCGTAAATCCGATCAAATTGTTCAAGGAAGCAATTTTTAAAATTATTTTTAATTGAAATAAATTACGTTAGGAGGCGTTGACCATACCTACTATACCGTGTAAATTATTACTAGTATTGTAAGCTATCGCTAGTTTTCCAGAGTGTCCTCTGTAATTTCTAAATAAGACTACGGCTACCTCCCTTTGCATGTTCGAACTCTGCCACCGCATGCAAGTAGGAAGGCGAGCGAGGAGACTGCCAGGCTGTACAGACTGATCCCATCGGACATATCTTTTGTGCATTTGAACTTTTTCGTATTACAAGAGCTCTATACGCTCTTCAGCAATGACAAAGATAGTGTATAGCAACTTATGAACTTCTGTTACAAAGGTCAGGGATGTTTTTGTTTTGTTTTTGCATGAAACTTTGAGATTTTGATGATAATCATGTTGAATTCATCCTCGTAGCAAACTCATGAGCTTTATTTCATCGTTGTTTGTCGTAGCGAGTGTCGATCCTAAAATTAGTCTTTGAGCTAATGGTCAGTGTGTCAGCTTATTATTGGAATTTCGGTTCTCGTTATTGTTATCTCATTTGTGAGAATGCAAGTATGACCCCGATTACTCCAAGCCTAATTTTTTGAAATTATTCAAAGTTAAACATTTCGAGACTTGTTCACTTGATTAGATGTCATTCTTTGTTTCATGGGAAGTTTTAATGTTTAATCTATTACGTTTGCATTCTATAACAATAATGTACATTTTATTGACAGAACAACTGTACCTCCAGATTAGTACAACCCTTAGGACTTCCCGCATGGTTTCGTCAGTTTCATCTTGTATTGCAACACAGGATAGATCGAAGACGCTCAATTTAATTAAATTTAACGACTAATTTGTTGATAATTTATACAATGCAAGTAGTAGGTTCTTGAAAAAAATTGCAGCTCATCTGTTTGATTTTGGCCCTAATTTAATCTCGCGTCGCCGTTCCAAAATACGTAACTCTTCATCACACGAGTATATTTACCTAAGAGTTCGTCTCTACAGTCTTACAGGGTGAGTTCAACTTAGCGCATGCACATACAAAACCATTATTCCAAGAGGCAGATGCTTCCTTTCCTACCAAACGCGTACTTAAAACTTATGAAGTTTTCAAAATGTTATGCAGATATTAATCAAGTCATGTTTTATTCCAGACTATTAGAAGAAATGAATATCAGTTCAACTTGGAAATAAGCAGGATTTCTTTATCGCCACTTGCGTTGATGTTATTTTATAAATTGGCAGAAAACATACGATGGCAGTGTGAACTCAAGGCGTTGTTCGAACCCATCGAAATTCTTCGTCGCTTGCTTGCATGTTAATTCCATAAAAAATTTATATAACTTGAGATCCTCTAAAAATTATTACAAGTTTGAAGTGTCAGCAGGGGTATCGGATTGGCGAAACGACTTTCATTGATTGTAAATGGGCATCGACAATTAGACTTCAATGGAAGTTGATCAGAGAAATATATTTACTTTATGCATATTTGAAAAGGGAAGTTACTTGGAATCGTTTTTGTTTTTCACTTGAATTTACCTCCTAAGGATCAGTATTTTGTGCGTTTGAAGCTCAAATAACCAACTCAATGGGCTCATTTTTATGACCCATGTGCACTCGACCAAAATTTCAGTTAACAAATATCGCTCTCGATTCTTTTCTGAAGAAAAGAACTCTGAGATTCATATCAATTTCATTTATTTAAATTCATATATCGTAGATGCCTTTTAAATTGTGTCAGTATGTAAATGGTCCATATGAAACAAAGTTGGATATTTAACAAAATAATTTTCCACGAGTTAAACATATGAAGAAAAACTGGGAAATTCAATGTGTTCAGGGCATTTGAATAAACAGATGAGTTTTTCAAGTGTATCCTCGACTAGGCGACAATTCTGAACTTGCTTTTGACGTCGAATTCAATTCGGAGAAAGTAATTTTTACGATCAAATTAGTGAAAAACTGTATGCAAGCGGTAACACTTCACTCGCCTCATTTCAGTAATAGATCTCAAATATTTCCTCATTTTCAGCCGGGAATATGGCCCTCAACTGTCCATTTGTTGTATCAATTTCAATTCGAGAAGTTCTCACCCTCATTTTATATTTATCTTATGTATGACAGCTTGGAAAGCAAGTAAACATAAAATTCGGAACAATGCCTTTCTCTTCCTTATACTCAGCATAAAATTTTTTTGTAACCGACAAAACGGAGGTTCCTAAAGGTGGTGTTGCCGTGTTGGTTTATAGAAAATTAGTGCATGGTAGCCCACAATGACAAAAAAATACTCGAGCTTCGTTTTTTACGCGTAGTGGAACTTAACCTACGAGTTCTGAACAAGTCGGCAACCCTCTTCAGATGATGGACTTGTTGCATAATATGAAGAATTATACGTGATTATCATGTAATTCGCTGCTGGCAACTTTCCACAAATCACTACTAACGTAAACTGCTCATCTACGAACTTGAACTATCGATGAAGAATTGAAGAGTCAGATTGCAATTCCGCTCTGGCAATTCATAAGTTCGATGACTAGGAGCATCGATCATTACATTTAAAATATAATGCCAATCTAATCGGTCTAATATTTTATCACAACCCCATGTACAACGATAAAGAGAGTATACATGCCATAGAACATGTGAAATATTCATCGACCATTTAGCCCCAGCACCAACAGAATTAGTCCCCAAACACCTGACTTGAACCAACAGGCAATATTGTACCAGTGTCAAAAATAAAATAATAACAATAATAATAATAAATAACGAGAAACGTGGTATGAAGTTACTCTCTACCCTTCGATCTCCTTCGCTATAAGCGCATCTAATTAATGGTAAAAATCTCGGATATAGTGCGCCTTAATTCAGCGGAGTCGGAATTATACATTGAGACACAGTTATCAAATCAGTGTATCGATTAGCGTAAATGATACCACAATCAAGTTGGGAAGAAATTTACCGTATCGCGATAGTTAAAGAAAGAGCTTCAAATATTGAGCAATCAAAAAATTGGAGCTCTACTCCAAATTAAAAAATTTTAATTCAACTACCAGTTCATGATCAACAGATTGGATATAAGTATTAAAATCACTTGTTTGCTTGAATCGCAAGTTAACCAGGAATTTAAAAGCAAAGAAAATACCACAAAAATTCACCATATCTTTATAAGAGAAAACGTTTCGGAGTCCAGCTCCATCGTCAGTTCAAACCACAAAAATTCTGTTCAGAAAAAGTTCAGTCCTAGAAACACAAATAAATCAATTAGTAAAGTAAATGCACTAAAAATAAATAGATAAGACATGAAAATAATGCTAGTAAACGTAAACGGCCTATCTATTTACTATTTCAAGAGGAAAGGAGCTAAAAGCGGCATTCAGACTAGGCTTCTGTTTGAATATATACAGGGATTCTAAAATTCGTAGATCACTAACACCGGATGCGGAAGCTAGAATTTTGAAATCACTATCAGATACAGAGGTGTTGCTTTAGTGCATTTACTTTACTAATTGATTTATTTGTGTTTCTAGGACTGAACTTTTTCTGAACAGAATTTTGTGGTTTGAACTGACGATGGAGCTGGACTCCGAAACGTTTTCTCTTATAAAGATATGGTGAATTTTTGTGGTATTTTCTTTGCTTTTAAATTCCTGATGATCAACAGACATGTGCTACCATCCTCTGAAACTCGTGCAATAGTCGCGCTTCTTGTTGTATCCGAGCAAGATTCGCGGCAACTATAATTCCCTTTACTCCACGTTCAATTCAATCCCAAACGGAACCTAAGAAGAACGCCATATCAATGATAAATGGAAAAATAAAGAGACAGTGAATTAATTGATATATTATTTATGTAAGGTCTTTGGAAGAACAAGCGAGCATGGTAACTCCTACTAACACGTATTGATAAATCTCATAGATGCATCATCACAAAACAATCAGGAAGAGAACGTTATAGTGTAAAAATAATAGTACCAATATAACTTTAGAAACTGTCCAAAATTATCAAAAATTGCGGAACAGAAGTCGCGGGTAAAATTATTTGTAAGATTCATATGATTACAATTTTAAGCCTAATTTCCCTTCAGGAAATTACGATTTAATGATGCATATTTGGCAATAATAACTATAGCACTGCAAACCCATGTCCAAGGCATTGGTCACAAAATCTCGTTGAGTCAAGAAAACGAATCACGAAGAAAATTTACTAAATGTTTCTTCAAATAATAAATCGTGAACCCAACAGAATATGATCATCCTCAGGTATTAAAGGGATATAACTTCTGAAGAAATACTCCAAACAAAACTCATATAACAGCGGAATGACAATAGTAGTAGAATAGCTGCCAACGAGTTAAAGTATCATTAAATAAATTGGAGGAAAACAACAAAAATCATACTGAAATAAACTCGATTTAAAATAATTAAACCTTATTTTAGTTTGAATATTATTTCACCATACAACTTCAACTTCTAGTAATAAAATTTTCCCAGCAACGGTCACAACTAAAATGAGTCAAGGAAACAGCTAGTTATTTCTTTCTGAGATCCTCCAGCTCACCAGACAAAAATTTTTTACATGCCAAAACACGATAAAAACAACGTTTATTTGAGATAATACAAAGCGAACAGGGGTTAAAAAATTGACATTTTCATGCATAAAGAGCCAGTGATTTCTCCCGTGTGTTGAACTTAAAACTCGGCAACAAAGAACAGGTTGTAGAACTCCTCAGGACTCCATAAGGCCAATACCTGAGACATCGAGAGTGTCCGCTTCTGCGGCGACATCGCAGAAATTGTTAGAAAACGTCACCTCCTCGTAGACGTCGCACACTCTGCAACACAAGAACCGTTACCATCAAGCTGTAATATTTAACCATGCATCAAGAGCAGGGGTCTCCAAACTACGGTGGCCCTTTGCTAGGTTCCATCCGGCCCGCCGCGAATATCTCTTTGTTCAACATTATGTGTACAAAAATCGAGCTTAGCGTCTATTTCTGGTTACGCATCAACTAAAAACAATAAATCAGCGTGACTTGCCGGTGAAGGTTTCAGTAAGCTTGTTCTTGGCTAAAAAAGTTTGGAGATCCCTAATCTGGAGCATTAATCGCACATCTTAGTTATAGCCATACATATAACAGATGTACATCGATGGAGATAACAAGTTATACGTTGAACTTAAGCAGTGTACATGGAACTACAGAGATTAGCATTGAAACTTATTGGCAAGAAAATAGTAATTTTTGCATTATTTTAGGCTCAGGGCATTATTCAGTCATTCCAGACCATAACATGCCGCATTTTCAAATAAAAATTAAGAAAAAAATTTGATTGCCGCGTCGACTGGCTGCGAGGGACAGCCTAAGATACAAAATATTAATTTCACGCGCGTGACTACTCAGTGCAATGGAATACTTTTAAATAGTAAGTAATAATGTTTCATTTCCAAACAATAATTCAATAAGATCCAAAATAATAAAAAATGTTTTATATTTTTCAACAATAATTAAAAAAGAGCCAAAATAATAACAAAATTTAATATTTTCCAGCAATAATCTAACAAAAGAAGAAGTTATCTCACTGAGATAAGTGTTGTTGGTCGAGAGCGTGAAGGCTGCGGCCGCCCTTAGACGTCAGGATCTGGTCAGGGCGAGGCAGGTCGCGTGCGTCCCGAAGTTCAACGGCGCACGTCGCGTTGTCTGACAGATGCACGTGTGACAGCGACACCTGGAAGCATATACTCCATCACTAACATGCGCTCAAGTGTGACATTACCGTACGAAAAGCGTGTATGACATTTAATCTATTCGTTGGCGGAATTTACATAGTAAACTTTTTGTTTTCTGCCTGCAAATTTCGTTATCAGGCCTGTTAATGCAAATAACAGTGGTGTGGTGGTGGCCCAACCAGTTATTGTGGTGGAAGAAATTCAATTTTTTTATTATTTTTTTTTTAATTCGTCTTTTTTCAACGAACCTGAACTCTCGTCGTCACAAGGCATTTATATAAAAATTTGCCAACGAAACTCGTCTTTTTAGCGCATTTTCTCATTTATGGAAAAAATGCACTATTGTGCTCGCCATGTCCGTCTGTCTGTCCGTCCGTCCGTCCGTGACCTCAAGTTTTCGTCGATGAGAAAATGCGCTCTCTGTCACTCACTGCAGTGAGTACCGAGTTTTATTTTTTTAACTGATCTCAACTCTTGTTACAGGTCATTTATAAGAAAAATTCGTCAACGAAACTCCTTTTTCAATTGACCTCAACTCTCGCTACAAGGCATTTATACAGAAATATACATACAGAAATAGTGGTGTTGTGTTCAAACCTTAGCTCGCGCGTGTAGGCGGAGAGCCACAAGGCAGCTGCTGACGGCGGTGTGGGTGAGGTGCAGCAGAGCGTCCTCCCTCACGTCGGCGCCCACATCTTCACAGGGGCCCAGGCTGCCGCCCTGTACCTTGCACACGCCCACGCGCTTCTTTCTTTCGTTTTCACTGTCTGAAATTGATGGCTTGTTAAAAGTTGTAATAGTGCACTTACTATTAATCTTCAATACTAAATACTAATTTATTCGATTCTAAACAAGTTAACATATTTAAATGATTTGTCGACTAATGGTAACAAATAACATGTCTTTCACCGCGAAATAGGATATGTAACGGTATATGTATAATTAGACATATGTTAATTTAAATTTGTTAACTGAATCCAACACCTAAATCGCTTCAGCAGGAAATCGGTGTTACACGCATTTTTCATTCCTATATAATGATCTATGAAAACAAGATGACCAAAGGTGCATGAAAAAAATCTGCAACCGTGACAAAATTGGCAACAATGCGAGCAATACCTGCAGTACTGGATTCTGAAGCGACAATCACGCCTCCGCGGCAGCCTGTAAGACAACATAGACTAAGTCTATCAATAACTTAGAAAAGAGCTGCTGAAATAGATCAAGATTAATAACAAAACAATGTTTCCGAAGTGCATAATGTATAATTTAAGCTCATATTCAGTTGCACAAAAAAGTTGCACCAACAGAAATTTTCATGCAAAAATTGTTATTTTTAATTCAATTAATTGTTAATTAAGGGGAGCGTCTAGGGTAAAATTTATCTCGGCTATTTACAGACGGCCCACTCTGAAACTTGGTACACTTATGTAAAACAGAAATCTAATCTAAAATGTTCATGTGAATTTTTCGAAAAGAATTAAAGAAAACGTGAAAATCTTAGAAAACGGCCAAAAAGGGGGTACCGTAAATCTCCAACCTAGGTTTTTCAAGCTGGAACATCGAGACACACATCATTCGTCGCGTAAAGACCATATCTAAAACTGAACACGGCGGTTTTTTGGATTTCTCATTTTTATGAGTGTGGGAGCATTTTTCGTAAATTTTTCGATTTCCCCCCGCCACCACCCATTTTTGCGGAATAAAATTCAAACTATAACGAAATTAGAAAAACGCCCGCGTTCAATAGTAGATAATTTCGTTGCGCATCGAACGTTATATGTCTCATTGATGTAGCTTCAAAACTCTAGGAGGAGATAGGTTTTCCGTGACAATAAGTGTGAATGTTGAGGAGAGCGCGACAAAGTCCCGCGCGTACCGCAATATGTGCTCAATGTAGCATAGATACCAAACTAAACGTTTCTGGAGCTTGATTCCACTCAAAGATGATGGGAGCGACTACATGCACATCTCTCCGTACAACGCCCGGAGGCACACTGAGCCACACCTCATAGAAACACTGTATTTGTAGTGCTGGGCAGCGAATAAGCTCCTATGTAATTACTGAAAGAACTCCCCCACCCGCCCCTTTCATGAAATGTCGTGAAATCATAAATCAACGTACAGAGATGGCAGTGGTATCGTTGGATAGGGCAGAATGTCAGCTTTAAACCGCGTATAAAAACCGAAAAAGTGAAAATTTCCAATTTTAAGGTAGACGCTCCCCTTAACTACTCGTGGTACTGATGGTAGAGCATTGTTTAGACACTTCAGGGAAACATGAGCAGGAGAATATATGATTTCATCCCCTCAAAATTGGCTCCCATACGTAATACGGTATTACATTTTATTATTCACTAATATCAAAATAATTAATATTCGGTCCATCGGGGCGATCGCGAATATATTTGTATCATTTAAAATGTAATTCCTCCAGTATTGCTAATGGAATGAAAAGGGCAATTTTAAATTAGAGGCTTAATTGAGTGCATAATCTAGTAGTCATCATGCGATTTCATTGCTCATCTTAATGGAAAGACAAATGCTGACCTTGCACAAAACAATTGTCGAGAAGCACCGTACAGCTGTGGACGAGCAGTGCTGTCTGGTGGGCTAAAGGCCTCAGCGTAACGTTCCTCAAACACAAGTCCGGTGCTTCTGCTGCACAAATAATAAAACGAAGTCAATATATATTAATACAACATTACATATCAAACCACACGTCAGTTTTTTCCGCTGCACGAAAAATTATTATAAACAAATCAATAATAATCACCCATTACACAACAAACACAAGTTAATAATAAAAATACCGTAACTCAAGGTCAAATTGAAAGTCAACTAAGGGTAGGGTCAGACTAAGGGTTGAACCAGACTAAGGGTTGACTCAGACTAAGGGCTGAGTGGCTGACCCAGACTAAGGGTTGACCCAGACTATGGGTTGACTCAGACTAAGGGTTGATCCAGACTATGGGTTGACTCAGACTAAGGGTTGAACACAACATTACTCACGTGCAGTCTTGAGTTTGCTGTCGATGATGCCGACGTGCATCATGACGTCACCAGCGCCCACGCCGCTCCCGATGATCACGCCATCGCCAATCCCTGAACAACAAATAGCCAACTGAGCACGAGTTACTATTTAAAGAAGATTTATGAAATGGAACATTTATATTTCCAAAGGGATAAAATTTGCATAAATTGAGGAAGTTACATAAGAGCCTGAAGACTTAGCTGAAGCGGCTTACATATGTCGCATACACAGGTAAAAAATTTCGAGCTCACATTGGCCGTTATTCAAATCGCGATGGGGAGATCGTTATGCAAATGAATGATTTTCGACTTGAACGTAATGAAGGCCTTATCCACAATGGCAAAGGCGACTTTTTCTTACTTAAAATTTCGCAACAAGCTCAATTGGAAGGTAGAAGTCGTTTTCACCATAGTTGGTGCATGAATTCAGAAGCCCTGAAAACAATGCTATCCACAAAAATCAGCGAACTTCGAACGTTACAAAAAGCGCCAGCCCGTAGGTCATAACCAGCGCCAGTGTTGTAGGTAATTCTTCAGTATAATAATAGACCAAATTCGAGAGGGGGCAATTCATTAACCAAGAAGGTAATTTTTTCTGTGCGTGGCAGGCGAAGGACGTACCAGCGGGAGTGGGACGTTCAAATTCATCATGTACTATGGCCACTCCTACCCTCCTCCCGTGCCACGGCCGATCTTAATGAACCGCATTCATAACTCACAATGAGCGTAAATATTATCCGGAGCGTCACAGTGATAGTTTTTTGGTTCCCTTCAACATTATTTATTGTACAGCACAGACGCGGGGTTCGACATTTACCATGAATGGCGCCCCCTGCGACGGCAAGAGGCCCCAGACTCTGCAGCAGGTGATGACCGGGCAGGAGCAGGAGCAGGTCGCCTCCACTGCAGTGGTCCAGTGCAGGCTGCAAGAAGCTCTCCAGCAACACGTTCCACTCCGTGCACTGCAAACAAAAAACGGTAAAATTACACATAAGTAATGGTAACCCTACACACAAGAAACAGTAACATTACACACAAATACACTTTTCACACAAAGTTTTTTCCGATTTACAATGTACAGTTAAGGGTCCTGAAGATTTGATTAAACGAACGTTTTATTACTGCTATGCTAAAGCGTATCATGCAGTGACAAACGACTTCTTCGATAAAAAGGTAGCTCCGGACATTTTCACTTTTTAGACTATCCGTTGAACTGAGGAATTTTTCAGCGTAATCCTCAAATGAAAGAGCCATTATGACACTGAACAATAAGACAACCTTCAAGAACACGACAATCAAATGAACTATTATCAGATCTAGGTTTTGCAAGCCTTCAGCAAAGTGTCTTGCTCCAAAAATTCCCACTAAACAAAATTTAAGAAATAAAAGACTCCGGTTATTGGAGGATAAGCTAACCAGTAGGGTTACTGAGTATTAATGTATGTAGCAGCGGCGTTGTGGTCCACCATTTCGTTCCTGTTATGAAAAGGACTTTACTGTTAGTCCCAATTATCCACGTAGACAAGAATGGCTGGATGCCACACTTTCGTGTGGCAATCGTTGGGAGCAGACCTCTAGTGCAACTACACTTGAGGTCTACACTACTTGAAACTCTGTTTAAAATGAATTTAAGTGTTTTAATCTAAGTGTTTTAATTTTTAATTTAATAATTTTATTGTGTTTGCTTTTCTGAAGCAAGTGATAGCAAGAGAATGATTTTGCAATAGTTACACAAAGTTTGAATAGAAACAACGATGTCCCCCTTTAAGTAACATCTGGCCAGTTGGCATTTCTCATTTGTTTGTGATTTATTAATTACTCTTGTTTCTATACATTAAATTCTGTGTATAAACTAACTCTACTTTTGTTACTTGCTGAATTAGAGTTGATTAAATTTTGGAACAATAGGTACCTATATAATTAAACTATCAATCAACCTTGAAATAGCCTAGACACTTTCAAAATCGCTTTTAAATCAATCTTAATAATAATAAGACACTTTATATGCAACATTCAAGACAATGGCTGACGATACGTGATAATTGCAGAACGATAGCAGTAAATCCAGAATTTTGATCGTTACTTCGGGGATCACGTCTCTGTACACTGACCTTAGGGCACTACTTATGGCAGCCGTGTCATGATGTTGCTGTAATCTACCTTTGAATACTAGTTACGTAGTATTAGTAGTTAACTAGAGCTTTAGATGAATAGTTTTACAGCACATGACACTGACCTGAAGCTATACTGTAACTTCGATACATTGTCTGGCATGCGCTGCATGAGCTGCTACAGCTTACCTTTAAAGAATAGTGACGTAGCAGTAAAAGATTTACTAACACTTCAGATGGATAGTCAAGACCCAAGACACTGACCTGAGGGTACAACTTCGAGACGAGGTCTGGCAGACGTTGCATGAGCTGTTGCAGCTGCTTCATGGAGCTGCAGCGGCCCACCAGCCACACGTTGTTAGCAGCGCCACAAAGGACGGCGCTGGAGCTGTCGTAGCCCGAGCTGTTGTGGGTCTGACTGAGCTCCGTGCCGCGCTGCATGCATAACTCCCTGCAACCCAAGGCTTATAGGTAATAATATTAATAATAATAATAAGGTAATAACTACCTACGCATATTGCAGGACTAGCAAGACAAGTGCTCGCTGCAGTAGATTCATAAATACAGTAGTACCAGTGGTTGAATACGCATTGATAACTATAGAAACAGTACCATTAAATGCAGCACAGATAACACTGCAAATAGAAAAGCTTGTACGAAACTAATAGTTAATGCAGCACAAATCACAGTGGCAATATGAATGATTGATGATAGGTACAGAAACACGAATGGTTGGTGAACGCACATTAGAATGTCAGAACTAATTTCAGATGCATCACTGATAATAATGAAAACAATTATATCAGGCGCAGCACCGTTTAGTATTGCAACACTAATGTTGGATGCAGCACAGATAATTATGGCAACGGTAATCGCAGGTGCAGCACTGTTAATGGCAACGATAACCAATATCAACTGCAGGATGGCCATTCGAAACTTTGTACAATACAAACGGCTGACGTAGCACAGGTAACCAACATGGTAGCTCAATTGCAAGAACAACATTGGCTCAGGTTTTTATGCAGCACACAAGACCGTTTAAATTAATGTAATACATTAAAATTACCTAACGATTAATCAGTTGACAATTAATGGAACAGTCGTGTGCAGAGTCTCAAAAACAATCTACAGTGTAGGTCAAAATTGAGAGAATATATTTATTCCAAACGAGTCTGAGAACAGGCAAATTTAACAATTGCATTGTCATCTTCAAACCACTTTCCTTCTCTTACATAAACATTACATTTCATGTCACACATTTGCGGGCTTCCATTTCAGAGCTCTTTTTTACATAGGTTTTTGGAAAAAAAGCGAGTGTAGAATTAAAATAGTTAAATTAATACAGGATAATCAGCAAGTATATAGAAAAATTATATTACCTCTCGATTCCTTTCTCTTCTCGCATCTAATATAACTATTTTGATGAATCCTACCAAGAGCGTATTTAATCCATATCATTGTTCAAAAAATATTAAAATAAATATATTTAATAATTAGCTAATAGCATTCAATAAATATCTAATCGGACCTGCAGGATATTAGGCCTAAAATGAATGCGTTCTGATGTGCTCGAATTTACCAAATTTGACTGTGCTTCGTTAAAATTGGACATTCTTAAAACTAACCATCGAGGGTAGAAGAGACTGAGACCCATGGTTGAACTATATTAGGTTGACCCATGAGGATTTCCGTCTTTCAGTTCAGCTATCTTATTACGTCACTGAGATCGCGAAACGTAAACAATTCCGTCATTTCCATGACGGATTGGTTGACTGGTTTGTTTGCATCTCGGCGATTGGTTAATGCCCGTGACGTCACTGAGATCAGAGACGTCACAAGCGAACAACAAACTACATCACCAAAAATGAGCTTCTCGCGGGTCAACCTTATACCGGTACTAGTTCAACCATGCTGAGACCTACCTCATGCTTGTGACGTCACCTCATGCCTGTGACGTGTTAATGGCCGTGACGTCACCGAGATCAGAGACGTAACCGGAGAACAACAAACTACATCCGCAAAAAATGAGCTTCTCATGGGTCAACCTTATATACTAGTTCAACCATGCTGAGACCTACCTCATAACGGGGTCTCTGAGTTTCTCGAAGTGTTCACGAAGAGCCTGCAGTTTGCTATGCAGTTTGCTGAGCTGCTGTACGTCGCCAGCATCAACCTCGCAGCCATCACGCCGCACCCCGCATGCTGCCTCCAACTGCACATTATTCTTCATATGTCAACAGATCTTTCATATGCTATTGAAGGAATTAATTTGTCTCCTCATATTATTTTTACCATTGACAGTTCAGATATTCTATTAAATTTCTAAACGAACAACAATAATATATCATTGCAAACAACGAACAAGTTAGTTGTTATCTGACTCAAATGTTCATCAAAAAGTGGTAATAAATTTGCTATGCATAGTAGAAGTCTGCCAACTTCATATGAAACCTGATTAATAGAGAAAATTGAGAGAAAAATGAGTATTCGATAGCACCAACTATGCCTATGATATAGAATTTTTGTTGAGCCTGATGAATCTCATTACCTTCAGCTGGGTTAAGATTGTCCATGTTGGTTCAATTGAGGTAGGTAAATCAATTACCATTAGTAATATAAGTTTAATTGCAGCAGCTCACCTTATCAATGGCGGATAGGGCAAGCCAAGCGTCCCTGACGTCTCTGTGCATCTGTGCAGCCACGGCCGTGGGGATCCCGGGCACCTCGCCTTGCAGCTCCCGGTACCTGAAATACACTCAGGGAAATGAGCGAGTCTTTGTGTCCAAATGCAATTTTTGCCCCTGGTGAATTGACGCAAGTGAAAATCAGTGGCACATTAACACAAGTGACCAGCAGTGACACATTAACACATGTGTTGACACACTTATTACACAAGATGGAATTCATCTCTTGTCCCAGAAATGGCAATTTTAGGACGATAAAATGATTATTGTGTCAAATATCAAATGCAGGAAATTATAGAAATCGGGCAAGAATGTCCTCGTAAAAACATTGTTATAGTTAAATGAAGCGGCTAACAATGATGTTTTATTGTTTTGAGCGAAATGGACAACAAGTTAGCAGTAAATTTTACACTCGGCTCCTCGGCCAACAAAGATACAGCGGAACAAAACGTTTGATTATTCTTATTCATATATGTTAGATAAAATATCAACAAAATAAAAAATGTGGTACGAACATTTCTCACAAATGAACGAGGTTAATGAAATAATTTAACTTGCATTGGTTTAAAAATCTCGATGTTGCCAGCACATAACATACTATCAACTCTGATCGCATTATCGCATTAGGCCATGTTGAGTACTGAGACAAGTGTCCACGTTGCTAATCAGTAACACATTTACTCTGAACACATAAGGGCATGTTGAGTACTCACAGCAAGTGTCGGTCAGCAATGGTGGCTTCATTGTAGCAGCAATAGTCTGCTTCCGCATCCCATGGATAGAAAATGTGCTTATAAAAGAACCTGTTTGGAAAAAATAGTTTAGAAACGTCTCGTTAATATAACGGAAGATGTTTATGTTGAATTATTTGCATAAGATATGCAAGAAAGGAAAGGCTCCTAATAGAGGAGTCTTTCCTCTCTTAATGAAATTTTATAAGGCGAGAGATTGTCTAAAACCAAATATGGAATGAATAACGGCTCTACTATGAATATCGTTGGACAATTACATGGATATCGAAATAATTGACAATTGAGTTGATTAATTAAACAGCATAAGGTCATTTAGGTACGTAGAGGATACATCAATCATTGGGCGCGACTCAGCAAAATTATCAGGTAAGATCGATTATTTGTTTCATTATCAAGCCAGAATCTCATTCATTATCCTCTTGGTCGTGTTATCAAGCCAGAAAATCAATCATCTTCTACATAACCAAGAGAAAACTTTTTTGCACGAGGCAGCACTGCACAAGCCAATGATCAAGTCCCTCCATATTTCAGCGTGAGTCCCTATTAAATAAGAGTCAACATCTTACGGTAGCTCAACAATTCGTTTCTGAATTTCTAGTGAGTTACTTAATTAAATAATGCTAGGTTTTTAAATTTATGTTCAACAAAATTAAATGATGTTTCTTAAACAGAGCACTGAATAACTAACCTTACAAGAGCAGTCACCTCGGCCGTCGTCTCCACATCAAGGACGTGATTTTCCTGCTCCACAAGCGGAGTCAACTCCCATACCCGAACGTTGATGATGGTGCCAGCAGCTAATGCTATGTTGTTGGCTTTGTCTAAAGGTTTTTCCTGTGATTCACTGAACTTTTTTGAGTTATCAATGTTTATGAATTTTTGCTCCACGTTGGAATTCTCTGAACCTGCACTCATCATTTCATCAACGTCCATCTCAGTTCCATGATTGATAGTGAGATCGTTCTGCTTCCTGAGCTCGGATAATGCATGCACTTTAGTGCCGGTGATTATCCCAGAGCTTTGCTTCACATCACACCTTCTCACCTTCTTCTCTTGTGTGGGTGAAGAAGAACTAATTTTACGTACAGTGTCCTCTTCATCTCCTTCAATGAGGCAGCTCTTAGGCTTCATATCAAGTTGATTCTTTTGACAGCTGGACAAATTCTTCAAGCTTTTGATGAACTCCGCAACGGAGCTCACAATCTCGACTGTTGCTTCCAGCTTCTCCTGACTGACGTCCAGCACCTGGAAATGAAATACATTAGAAACGTTTGGTGTATATTTCTAGCAATGTTGGTTCATATATTCAAGATCATATGCGATATGATATGAACTCATTAATTATTTAACCTGACTGAATTCCACTCTGGGAACTTAGGAACATCACATTTAGTGTAAAGAAATTTAGTGTAAAGAAATTTAGTTTCTTTTCAACAACAGGTGCCAATAAGAGAATCAATAAAACTTGAGATATAAATGTTTTAATGAACTTCACAATATGTATACCTATAAGGAAAATCCATCCAAAAAAGGGTTACTAAAATCATTCCATCTATGGAACAGAAATAGGGTAGAAAATGTGGAGAATTTCTCTACATTTGAAACAATGAAGAAAATACTGAACATGTGTTCAGTCAGTGTCATGTGTCATTGATATCTTTTAAAACAATCCATATCAAAGCCTTGGGGCAGAGGTCACCAAAAATTTACACTAAGGCCAAATAACTTAGAAAAGGGTGAACAAAGCTTTCTAAAGTTTATGGCAAGTATGGGTCATTTAAAAATTATGTTTATGACAATTATGTGCCTAATAATCATTAATTTTTAATACTAGCAAGCCAAATGTTCTTGCAAGAAATTTCAAGTATAGATGTACCTATTGAGTTAGGTATTAAAGTGGTATTATTGCAGATTAACTACATCCAAAAAAAAGGGTGTTTTTTTTTAATTATATGTTTTTTGGGGTGTAGATTACGAATCTGAAATCCATTTTTGGCGGTCGGCATCGGAAAACCGATTTTTTTCGTAACCCCCATGTTAGTAAGTCGCGAAAAAAATCGGTTTTCCGATGCCGACCGCCAAAAATGGATTACAGATTCGTAATCTACACCCCAAAAAACATATAATTAAAAAAAAAAACACCCTTTTTTTTGGATGTAGTTAATCTGCAATAATACCATTAAAGTCATTAGCTTATTGAAACCTACAGCAGAATGTACATTGAAGTGAATAATAATAGCCTCACATCAACTATATATTCATGCTGGCCAAGAAAATCATAATTGAGTTTTGATGTGCCCGGAGGAGCTCTGTAGAAGTCAGGTCGCCACGCAGCCCTCCAGCCAGCTGGTTCAATTGAGTCCACAACATATTCAACAAGGTTCTTTTCTGCGCTATCAACACCTCCATCTGTGAAAGCGCAGAAGAGTAAAACAGTAAATAGACTTATAAATATATAAACTCTAGATGTCATTTTTTGAGGACAGTAGCTACATATAGCAATGAAAACATTACAGTAAAGTTGACCAAGAGTTACTGTAACAATTCTTATAGATACAGTTGATGGAAGAATACTTTGGTCAAAAGAGAATTATTTGTTTGTTCCACTATAAATATATACCTGCCTTGAGTGGGGTTGAAATTATTTAGAAACAATTCTGGGATATTTTTTTGAGCATTGTTGGCATTTTGAATTATTTCTAATAGTCTAGAAGCCAGATTGTAGTATTAACCATATGTTGATCAACTTGATTTACAATTTGTCCAAGAAAAAAATCCAATCAACATTGAAGTATTGTTATTTGAAGAGGATTCAATGTATGTTAATGCAGTAAATTTTTTGTAAATGATCATTTTCAATTGTTCAATATTGATATCATTATAAAAAGACAAACCATGCTCATATTGTATAGAAACATTAAATCTACTAGCAAATAAATATAAATGTATTGTCTAGTGGCACTACCAGCAAGCAATCAATTTCAAAAATAATGATGCAAACTTTGCAGAATTGCATACAACAGAGAGAAAATATCAACAAAGTGAAAAAATAATGTACTCACATCAGTGTAGAAAAGACAAATGCTTGAGTAAATACAGTTATTGTTTCTTTTCAACTTGACAATTAAACAGTAGTGAAATAAGAAATAACATTAAGAATTTGAGATAGTGATCTATAGAATTAATATCTAAACTTTTTGCTATGACAAGCAAGAGGTTGCAATAAGAAACTTGCTATAAATACCTTTTAAAATTTTACACAATTCTTGTATGTGGTCTTCAGGGTCCCATGACACTGTAAACACATCCATGATGAAATCTCTGCAACAATAATCTTCATTACAATATGCCATTGAAAGGTTTAAGGTTAGATATATAATGATAATAAATAATGGAATCAGATATCTTATGAAGGCACATGGAAATGATGATGGTTGAAAAATCTTAAATTCTCTCCTATTTTTGGAATCGAGTAAGATATGATATGGCTTACTAAATAGTATAGAGCATGCCTAGATCATAGATGGCCGGCTAAAAATTGTACATCTTTAACATCTATTGACTGCACAAACAAAAATTTTTATTAGAATAGAATAGAAGTGTCGGCGTTGAAGAAATAGGCCCATGGCCTGTTGCCGATTCTTGAACTTTTCGTGACTTGATTCACAAGGGATCCGGCCTTTGGAACCCGATCGTACTTATTGCCTGATCCATAATTTGCTAGGCATTTCAAGACTGAACATATGCTTCTGCATAGCTTCGTCTAGTCTGTTTTTGAAGATGTTCATACTCGGTCATAGTGGCAAAGCAGAGAGTTTTTAAGACTCTTCCTCAAGTTCATTTTTGAGTCCTATAAGTAGACCAGTAAAGTATCTTGGATACCAAAATTACCATACATAAGAAATCTGTTCAAATCTTGAGTAAATGAGGAAATTAAAAATGAACTGATTCTAAAAAATCACTGGTTTGCAACTTCCACATGTTGGTGACTCGAAGCGAGAAGAAATGTTGTCGCATGGATGTGTTCCAATGCTGTTTTTATAGTTTATTACTGAATTAGTGAGAAAATAAAAAAGAAATAAAAAAAAGAAAATAAAAAAGAAATGCAAGTCAAAAATCCAACATACTCACAATCACATTGCACTCGTGCACAGTGAGACTGAGCCTCTGAGGCACTCAGCTTGAAGTTGCAACGAGACGATTGCGGTTTGAATTTGATTGCATCGCATTTAAACGAATGGACAGGATCACAGTTGACAACTTGACACTGGACTGTTTGGAGACGCACATAGCATAGGTAGGCTACATGATACATGTGATCTACGCTACCTACGTCAATTTGACTTTAACCTTACCAAAGTAACTAAACCATTACTCAGTACTGCAATCACGATTTCATCACCTTAAAAACAGCCGGACAGGAATTTCATATTGTTAAAAAGGTGATTATTATGAATATTATTATTAGAATACCTACATTGGATTGGAGAGCCGTTATGTTATGACGACCACCGTCCACCGGCGCTGAGTAACAATTGAGAACTCGTCAAGCCCTTCTCGGGCACAGGAACTGACCCTGACGAATGACGTGTGAAACTGTGAAGTGTGAACCTCTACCTCTTTCCCGCGATGAGCACAGCAGAAATTTGAATTCTCGCAGGGACGTCATAACCTATCCGTAATTATGGTTAAAGAAAATTTTTCATTCAAAAGTGAAATGCTTCCTTCTTTTGAAACTAGAACCACCGGCATTTTTAGTTTCCTGATGAAAGACTGGCATTAACAAACGGACAAAATTGAGCGAAATATTGATGAAAAAACTGGTCGAATAATAACATACTTAACTAGCAGGTTACGATGCGTTGATTGGGATTGATCATTGCGATTAAACAATCTCGTTCCCGTAATCAAAACAGGATAATAGAATTCATGTTAAAAAATCGTGTTCCCTAATTGAAGTATTGAAATTGAAAAATTATTTGTGTAGGCCTGATGGCCTTTTCCTTTTCGTGCCTTGTTTACAGATCTAAAATCGTGTCATTTGACCGGATCTTTTCATGACGGACGATAGTTTTAAGTAGCTACTAGACTTATACCGCGTTCGATATCGGTACTTTGATGAAAAACATTAGCATGGACCAAAATATCAAATAAACTTATTTTAAATGGGCAAATTCAATAAATTTTACGACGCTTAACGAATTTTGACGATCATACATTAATATTCAGGCGCAGATAAAATAATGCTATATGTCTGTGTTTGAGATTAGTAAACCATACTGCGTGTGTGGCTTCAAAAAAACGCAACAAGTTTCCCATATGAATAATAGGAAGCAGGTTCATACAATACAGTAATATGAGCAGGATTCAGGTAGCCATTGACATTCAGTAGAGGAAGATTACACTGATTAATCCAATATTTCTTCTCAGTCGAAAAAGTACTCATATCAAAGAGGCGGAAGTGCCGAAAGTTACTGCGCTTCAATGGATAGGACATAAGAAGCATCAGCATAGAACAGCCTAGACAGGCAAACAGAAATGACATTCGTACACGACGTCGCCTACACCTTAAGTCGGTCATCCCCGAGACAGAAAAGAGAAAGAACTACAAGAAATATTGCCTAAAAACAATTCAACTTCTCAACTACAGGGCCCGCAGTCAGACCTTGCAAGCGGTTTTTGGATGCTCGAGAACAATGGTTGTAGAAATGAAAATCTCCTGCTTCTCCTTGCCTTAAAAAGCGTGCTACGAAGTTCTCTTTGAAAGTAATGAGAATATAACTTAAATTCAGAGAAGAACCAATCAATTTAGATGAAAATATGTCATTAGACGTTAAAATTTTACTGATGAGTACATTAATGTTCCTTGCTATGATGTCGGATGAATCTCGCGATCTTGTCGCAATGCTTAGTCACACGCCAAAGAAGTTTTCAGCAGCGTAATGAACTTTAACAGCAGCCAAGCTGAAGATAGCCACACATGTTTTACTAGCGTCACAGGAAAGAAAATGACAATATTATTTCGATAGTAGTTGTTTTATATCCAAAAAGTCAATAGTAAAAAGGAAAGATATTCATCAGTAATGCACGCACTAGAAACGTGGCACACCACAATAACGTTAATTATATTGACCATCAAACAAATTGCATACAAATTTCTCTCTAGAACTAAGTATATGGTGAAAACTGTGATACTGAATACAATTAATGAGATCGTGTCTAAAAAATCGGTAGCAAAGGGTAACAAATGCAGGAAATTGTACAAATCACAAACGTTACACCAAGTCAGAAATTTCAATGGCAGACATGAATGTTTTTAAAGTTTGTATATTTGTAGAACACACTTTTTACTTATAGCATATTGCCTTGAGATTTCAGAAATACTGAACAAATTCGTGGGCAAAAAATTTGTACATAAAACTATTTTTGCAGAGCATCATCAAGACATTTTAACAAATGCTTTCTTTATTTTCAAAGGATCAACAGGCTTGTCATTGTTGTCAGTCTCGACAAGCCCAAGCCTCTTGATGACCTGCATGCCACTGTATACACGACCTGGAAAGAGAGACTCTGACAAATAAAATATTCCAACAATTCAGGCAAGAATACATAATATAGTATGAACATAAATAAGATGTCTCTTTTCTAAGTACCCAACACCTAAAATAGTGAATAAGGTAGTGAGAAACTTCAAAGAGACTTCAAACCTTCATGACGAATACAAATAATTTTGTGATAGATATAAATTTCACCTCATGGAGAAGTTCAATTAATAATTTTTGTTCATGGTACAATTGAATAACTTAATTGGTAGACAAACAGGCTACGATGCATTACAACGCATTGAATAATTGATATAACAGACTATATTCAATTTGGTAGCTATACATAAATAAATTTGTACTATACAACATGCAAGCACGAGTGGAATATTTAATTTAAAACATGCCATCATCAGAACAGGAAGGACATCAGTGGATTTACAGAGAATTCCAATTGTTTTGCTCCAGAAATATGCATAATATGCAAATTTTATTCATCTAAAAGCTTTAGCTTAATTTCAATACTTGAAATATGAATTAACATTCAAGACCATTAACACTTCCCACAAGATAGTACTAAATCAATTTCAACAGATAATACGAGCATTAGGCAAAAACTTGATGTGCTGAATAAAATGAAACATTTGAATGTGCTTAAAATAGTTACAGCAAATGAAAACATTAGGCTCACCAAAAATAGTATGTTTGCCATCAAGCCATTGAGTGGGGGCAAGTGTGATGAAGAACTGAGAACCATTGGTATTAGGTCCCGAGTTTGCCATGGAAAGGATGCCAGCACCGGTGTGTTTCAGGTCAGTTTCAAGCTCATCATTGAACTGATGGCCATAAATGCTTGAACCACCTCTGCCAGTACCAGTAGGATCACCACCTGCAATATTATAAACATTAATTTCGTCATGGGGAAAAGAAATGTTGCAAATACATTTTGAGGATCAATAATGTATATAGGTAGATAGATTATCCCACTTGGAAACAATTTATTCTGAATTTTATCTCAGACACATGGCTGTTTCACAGCACGTAATTAAATTGAATCTGGTTAATTTCATGATAAAATTTTGTAGATATTCACAATCATTTAACTGGCTTTGCTGATTTTTAGGATCATTCTCCAATTTTCAACATTCATGAATTTGCATTAAGTGTAATGTATAAAATATACTTTTGATTGTATGCATGTTTTTTGTGATAACTAAAAATATCTTTATCAGTGCACATTAAGTTATCGCTGGGAGTATACATGGCACATTTTTAATTTTTGTCATCATAAATCCAAACATTGAGACATTAGAAAATGAATTATATATTGGATACATGGAAAAATTTGCCTAAAGAAGATTGTAAGGAAGAAACAAAGGTAATTACCCTGGATCATGAAGTCTCGTATGATTCTGTGAAATGGACAGTTGTTGTAGTAGCCACGTCTCGCCAGCTCAGCAAAGTTGCGGCAAGTGTTGGGTGAGTGACTCCAGTAGAGCTCTACAGTGAACTCACCCATGCTGATAAATACAGAGCCACATTTGAACAAGCTGATAAATTTTTCATTATTACAAATGCTTTTATTTAATTGACAGAATAACACACAAAGCACAAGTTAAAAACTAAATGGAATATATAATTGCAGAATAATAAAGTGTTTTAGAAGTAAATTTGTCTGGTAATTACTTGGAAAGTTTTTGAATACAGTGGGCAAAATATCTGGAGAGTTGTTCATACCTTACATAGTACCTAAATCATTTTGACTAAGGCATAAATAATTCAAGTACAAGTTAACAATAGCTAATCTACTTTCATACTGAGAAAAAGGAAATAAAAACTCATTATTTCAAGAAGATAAATATACATGCAGATGCAGTAATTACAGACTTACATTCAAAGCTTTTACTTACGTTGTTTCAATTACAACAAATTGAGGCCGCCATGTTTTATCTGGGATGGACATTTTTGAATCCCAAATACCACAGTAATTCTTCTTTTAAAAACCAGAAAGATAAGTTTCAATGCTTAATAAAACTAATTTAATTTGAAAATCATGAAGATTGATAGTGTTAATAATTCTTCCTTAAATCTGTTCATAATTGCCAAAGATATTCATTATTCATTTAAAACATTCTGCTTGATTGAATGATTTAGGTTTTCAATTAATATATATTCCCTGGATGTAAATAGAAATATGGTATAATGGTACAACTTTTTTTCACAAGAAACATGCCTGGAAATTTTGGGAGGTTATGTATTGCTACAAAGTTTTGTAATTTATTCTCCAGTGGCAGCAGCATTCGTTGCAGTGACGCGTCAGCCAGTTTTTACCCACTCCTGGAGGTGCTGGCATGACAATTGCTCTCATTTTGCCGCGTGCTTGCACCTGAACTCTTTACCAAACTCAGGCACCGACTTACTGATCTTCTAGACAAAGTAAGTATCTTCCACAGGAATTACATTATCAGAGGTACCTCACTTGAAGACGTGTTTATGATTACACATTAAGCTGGTCCAACAATTTGACAACAGTCTTAGTAGGTAGTTGGGTACTTCACTTGCAGTACATATTTCCCTCGATTTATTAACTAGTGAAAAATTTAAAAAAAGGAATTTTGGCCGAGTACTTTACCGTAAAGTTTTGCAGGTTGCGTTAGTTTACAAAACTTCTCTTTAACTTCACTTCTTGTTTGTTTGTTTGTCTGTCTGCTACAAATCTTATAATCGATATTCAACACACTTCTACCTTCCAATTGATCTGTAATTTTGCACACTTGCGTAAAATTAGAGACAATGCATGAATCAATTGACAGTATAAATGATTTTGAAATTTTAAAAATTTTATTTTATATACGGTAGTATTAACAGAAATTGAAAAATATATCTTATAATCGATATTTAACATACTTCTACCTGTCGAATCGATCTGAAATTTTGCACACTTGCGTAAAGTTGGAGACAGTGCCTGATGGATCAATTCACAGAATGAATGATTTTGAAGAATTTGAACAAATTTTTATATTTTAAAAATTAATTTTTAAATATAGGGTAATGAAATTAGAAATTCATTGAACATGTGCCACACTCAGGATGATGTATGTTTTCACGGAATTTTCCCGTGCATTATGACTTTTTAAGCCATTGCTGTGCACAGTCGGCACAACTTCTGGCCATCCCCGCTTGTGCGCATAAGCGTCGGCACAGATACATTTTGTCAAGGGACAAGAGACAGAAAACTTATAATACTCAATATGCATTTAAGTATCCATCAAAAATCTATGATTTTCCTTGATATGGAAATTTTGTGAAAGTAAAAATCTAGAAATTTATTTTCGAAGACATTTTCTACGAATTTCTTATACAAACTGACGAACATCGTTTGTTTACCTTTCGTAGACCGTCCGGACATGAGGGCGGTGAGGCAATATTCTGTCCGGACGTGAGGCAAGTGGTGAATAACCAAGTCCTCAGAAATTGGGCATATGAAGTAAACAAATATTAGTGTCAGTGCACTGATAGGGTTATTAAAGATTCTACGGCTAATAAAAAGAGGCAGAAATAATTTCATCATTCTAATTAATGGAAAATAGTTTTAAGTGCGAAATCTTTTGTAAATAAAATATGTCTAGACATAACTTTCATCAAAAATTTCCAACATTGTCTTTACATACCTACTCTTAGGCAATGCTGATTCATCATCATGAGTCATGTGATGAGTCTCTTGAAGTTATTCATATTTTTTCAATGTTTGTTATTATATATAATTAACCTTCAAAATTGCAAAAAATGAGAACTGATGATTTTAAAAAAAAGTGCGGTGCCTGTATTTTTGTTTTTAATGGGTTTGCACCGCACAAGCCCATTTCTCCAGCCGGGAGGATGTCGGGACGGGAACGTAACATATTCCTCACATTGACATTCAGGTTTGTACTATTTGCCAAAATCAGTCCATCATTAGAAGGAACCAATCTCAAGCCATGTAAATTGTCACCTTATACTATTCAGTTTTGTAATTTCCAACCAAATTGTGATCTATGGATAATGAATAAATATTCATAACTGTGCCGACTCTTAGAACCTGAGTTAACACATTAGAAATCTAGTCAACTTGATGCAGATATTTGTTTGTGTATGATAGCGTTGCTGCGCATTCATCTTTTAACAACTTCAGGACTCAGGAGCGATGGCTGGCGCAAGCCGTAAGGTGCACTTTTTACTGGCGTATTATGGCGCATGGCGCAAATTGATGCAATGATAATAAAAATTCCCGCGCACCTGGCACATCTTCCTGAATCCTGACCATGGTACATGCAGGGCTGGAAAAGTCCTATTTTTGTCTGAAATATCGCGGCTCTAATATCATATAATTTCAGTAGGTATGAAATCTCGTGGCTCGAATGTCATAAATTTTTGTTTGATTGCACTCTGCAAACATGTCACTTCATAAAATTTTCAACTTCCGCAACCCGCATTGCTTTACCGTTCCCGCCAAAATATCCTGCAGAAAAAAAAACATCGTAATGTAACATTGTTCATGCCTCGTAAATGGCTTTTCATGGCCGAGATATGGAATTCACGGCTCGGTGAAATGGAATCATGGCTCGAAGAAATGGAATCATGGCTGGCAGATCCATAAAACCACGGCTTGAAAAATTCAGTCGGGGCTCGCCAAGTAGATATATTTCATGCCTGGGTACATGTGTAACATTGGAGACACTGGATTTTTTAGAATTGTTGTCTTTAAAAAGTAATTTTTAAATGCATATTATTTTATTATTAGTCAAAACGTGTAGTCTTGACTTGAAATACCAATTGTTCTAACTTCTCTTCCAGTTTCTCTTCGAAGAGCTGGTGTTATAGAATCATTTCAGCGATGTCGGTTGTGACTTGTGCCCAGTTTCTATTTGACATGACTAAGGCTTTGTTTCAAATGTTCATTGAATTTACTAGCAAACCAGAGTAGGTACCATTTCCCAATGTAAGTACGAGATATTTTTAATAGGTAGGGCCTACCATGTTATCATTTTAGGAACAAGACATCAGTGCCATTGGCCCATGACCAATGCCTCTGCTGATTAGACTTACTTTGTTTAAGAAATTACATTCTGAAAATTCTGGAAAATAATGCTTTATCGAGTTGAACCGTTGTTCAGTTTTAAAGAGTGCTCACTAACATGATTTTTATTGGTACCTGAATCTCAACTCAATTTCATTGGCTATTATCAAAGCTGGTCGCCTTAATTTTACTTTTGCTCCTCAGGGTGAAGGACACTAGGACAGCCTGACGACCTTGTTGACTCTACCGTTGGCGCCGGCTTTGCTGCTTTGTGACACGCTACGCCGGGAGCGCAGGCATAGACCAGCAAATTAATGCTCAAATCAGCCCTGGAGCCACATTAACCATCTAAATGCTATAGATATTGTCATCCTGGCACCTAAGCAGCTGTAGTCAATTGACCTATCTCCAGGCCAGAGTGCAGAGAGTGGATGCAGCGTCGCCAATATATGGGTTTTTAAGCCCTAAGCATTGCCGGGTAATTTTAAGATGCGTCGCCAGTTAATTTTTAATGAAAAGCCAAGGTTGCATGCACATGTTACCCCAAATAATTAATTTTACCCTAGAAACAGTCCGATTGTACAGCAAGTGTCAACTGAATATGTGATAATGCAGTCTAACCACTCTAATGTGACTGCAACTACGTAATCGTAAACTTGATGTGTGCATTTTTTTGGCGGGAACTCATCGCAACTGATTTCCGGACAAGCTTCACTGCATCCTGATCCATCCAACATACCGGAAACCTTACTTTTTTTAAATAGTTGGCCGAAGACTGACAAATATATTAAATGCAAGAATTTCAATCTAAATGTGTCAGCAAGATCTTCTGAAGGCAAAAATTTTGCTACTGTAGCGTCGCCAAAGATCTTGCAATATTCATCCACTCTCTGCACAGTGGTCTCCAGGGTGCAGAAGGTGGAAGCAGCATTGCCAATATATGGGTTTTTAAGCCCAAAGCGTTGCCGACCATTTTCAAAATGCGTCGCCGGGTAATTTTTAATGAAAAGCCATTTACGCTGAGTAATGAAAAACTATTTACAAACCACAAACTTATTTACAAGGTTGCATGCACGTGTTACCCTAAATAACTACTTTTATCCTAAAAACAGCCTGATTGTACAGCAAGTGTCAACTGAAGTTACTGAACATGTGATGAAGCAGTCTGACCGCTCTAATGTGACCGCAACTAGGGTAAACGCGGTATATTCCGTCACATTTAGGACGCATCGAGAAATGAAAAACTATAAAGAAATAACCTTATGTGTTACTCAAGTTCTGTTTGCTTTATGTGACTCTCAAAACACCGCACTACGTGTCAGCAACAACGAAACGTCACAAAATGTTGCCATATTTATTTGAAAGCCTTTAGAATGCAAACCTACCAAATCCCTATGTTCCGTCACTGTGTGTGGCAATGTTCGGCACGTGGTGAGGCGTATTCCAACCGCGCTTCAAATTCTACTGATACGTAATGCCGTCATCCACGTGTTCTAATTCCGTTCGCTGTGTGAGCTGTATTGGAATACAACACGACTTTGAATTAGAACACTAATGAATATTGAAAACTACTTAATTACGCTTTTAATTAACAACTATTAAGCTTTTAATTGAGCAAATTTTAATTTTTGTACACAGCTTGGAACGATCTGTGTGTCCAATTCAAGTTGTGACGGAATTAGTTTTCATGTGTCTAAATCCATTTCTCAACTTAATCATCTATTAATTTATTTACCACTTGAAATCAGCGAATACAAGTACCTATACTTAAGAGGCCCGTTCAGCCGGCTCAGCCGCGTTAGTCGCTAATGTAATTTTATAACTATTACTAGGTCCAATAACTCCCCTCATAAATAAGATATAAGTCTGAAATTTGGAATGCTATCCTGGCTAATTATTTTTAATACGTAGACATTAAGATAAATTATGTAAACTTTTTATTTCAATAATTGATTATGACTTGAGCTCACATTCTTTTTGTCAGATAGAAGTATTCCATTTAACAAGAAAGTGACAGTGTTCTGAGATGTCTAAAAATGCAACGTCTCTGTGTAAACATCGGTATACGATATCATTAACGGTCTTTTGTTCAACAGGAGTGGATGTCAAAGTTTAAGTTTAGGTTCAAACACCAAATTA